GATCAAGAAAGAGTCTGATTTGTAAATATACTGGATTTTGTTTTTTTGAATATGTTTGATCAAGAAAGAGTCTGATTTTTAAATATACTGGATTTTGTTTTTTTTAATCAACTGATCTCTAGTCTCGAGTCACAAAGTCGAACTTTCGTCATTGTCTTTATAGGTTATATTCTTTTGACCCAGCTCTTGCCTGATAGTTTCCTTTATAATATCCACCTATATATATTTTTTAAAAAATAACACAGAAATGTGAGATTTCTATGCAGTACTTTGATCCTGCATTCTGACCAGAGAAACAAGTGGAAACTTGACTAGACATTTTTGTGAAGACTCACTCAGTGTTATTTTCAACCTGGGTACTGCAGTACACGCTGTCCACGCTCTTTTTGTTAATGAAAGTAAAGAAAAATATTCTGTATTCATTTCTCAGAAGCGCGTAGCAACGTTTCTGAAAACGACGGTTTAAAAAGTTTCCGTCCTTTAAAAACTTTGAAACACATACCCAGTGAGTTGCAGCGTGAACATCCTGTCCTTGTGCTTACCTGGGCACAGTGTGTTGCAGGTGCTTTTCTGCACTGACATGCCTTCACAAAAGGCTCCCCCATTGAGAGGAGCTGGATTTGTGCAAGTGCGGGAACGTTTCTGCACACCACGCCCGCAGCGAACATTACATGGGGACCAGTCCGTCCAGGATGACCACCCTCCGTTCACTGTATGTGAGGAGAGAGCCATGAATAATGGTAGAATGGTAGACCACACAGTGTGGATAACAGCAATATTCCTTTCATTAGAATAAAAAAAAAACACCACTGGGAGGTGAGCACTGCCGCAGCATGTGGGTTGACAATGAACGTCTTGACAGGAGAACATATATCTTTATTTAAAGTTGTCTTTAAGAAGACGATCAATGACATCTTCACTTTCACACTTTTGATTTGTTGCCTGGAATAAAATGGTGATGATTGACTAATCATCTCATTTGCTGTCACATACGAAGGGTTGTGTGACGCTATGGGGAACGATGAGCCTGTCAGGATTTCATTACTGTTATGGAATTGACTGATGAGGCCGAGCATCTGTCAGGCACAATCAGACGTATTAGCGGGGTCGCTAAATGTGGCAGAGAGGGGTCAGCAGAATGAGCACCGTTTCCCTCCGATGAATAAGAGGTGGCAGCGTTGGTGTAATTATACCTTCACTTTTTCTCCTTTGTCTCAGCCAGACTCTACCGCGGTATAAAGACGCTGGCTTAGAGCTAAAGCCTTTGACTGGAGGTGTTGAGTTCTGGCAGATAGAAGCCGGGGCGTTGTGACAGCCAATGTCACTGCCTTTCCATCATTAATAATTGAGTTCTTGTAAATATTATGCCTGTCTCTCCTTGTTTTTACACATGAGGGATCACTTGCCCATTACCTGCTCATTAGACTCTTGAGTGAGAAAAGGCCACACGCTGTGGTTGAGCGGTGCTTTCATGTTAATGACCTAGGGGAATTTGCTTAAGGGGCCAATTTGACAGCCTACGGTTTTTGTGAGAGCTGTTATTTTGATGTAGACAACAAAGCTGTGTGTGACAAACAAGTAGCTGTTGTTGCTGCTGTTGTTGTTATTTTTTCTGCGTCTTTGCTGCTGTTGTTGTTATTTTTTCTGCCTGGAGAAAATGCCATTTAAAAGCCTTTCTTTAAAACGTCTCACCAAAGACTACAACAGTGGCAGTGGCGCTCCGTCTTTTAGCCACGATGTTGCTGGCCGCACAGGTGTAGTTTCCCGAATCAGAGAGACGAGCGTTTGAGATGATCAGATTATGATCCCCTCTGGTGTCCGAGGCCGTGTCAGTGTTCAGGGGTTCGTCGTTTTTCAGCCATTCCACCTAGAGGAAAAAAAGTTGAACCAAAAAAACTGTTAAAGCAAAGGTGATTCTAACAGTGAATGACAACATAATAATTACAATGTTAGATTACAATGTACAGTGAGTAATGTCATTCTATGTATATTAAATTCCTCCTCATTTTAATATACGTTAGTATGCAAGAATAAGTCAAAAAGTTCTGAGACAGACTAAAAAAACATTATGAAATGTATTATATTTCTCTACATATCCTAATTTTCGAAAGTCAAAACTCTGAGCTGTTGTTTATGCACCAGGTCAGAACCTGATTCTTGGACTTTCCCCTTTGTTCTTTAGCAGTGATGAAACCCACTTTTCTCTTTCTTCAATTCCTTCTTTTTGCTTGTGATGAAGTATTTACCAGTTCAAACCAGTAGAGAGTGACCGTTGTAAGTTGTAATTCTTAAAAATCAGACACACGTTTTAGAAAAACTGAAGCCATTAACAGAGAACTTTCATTCTAAAAGGTGTTTTTTTTTTTTTTTTGCAATGTCTAAATTGAGTGATTTAAAATGTGATACTTTGTGGTTAAAGGTAGAGAGATTCACAGACACCTACCTGAACACTACAATGTGAAACTTCACTTTGTGTTTATAGCACCCTCTAGAGGGGAATGATGAAGTTTAGGGTTGTAATGTCTAAGCAATAATATATGATATGATATCAAAATGTTATCCAAACAATAGACTCCATCAGTCAGCGTCAGTTCCACCCACAACCACACGTTTGACCAGTCACACCCGAGTGCCTCGGCAGAAAAGCCATGCATTAATGGGAACATTTTATCCTGCCTCCAATTCTATGTTTCAACAGTTTTCAACGGTTTATCCACCCTCACGATGCATTACTGGGCCTCTGCATTAAAAAGTATCACGCAGTACTGTATATCCTGACAGAGCAATAATGCAAATATTTCAGTCTGAAACAACTCAAGAGGCAGAAATATTGCTTTCCCTGTTCTGCTTGCAATTTTGTACGGCAGTATGGGCTTCTGTGCAACATCAGTATTGATATGACCCGTCCACCGGCCACAGTAGGAAGTATATAGGACGGGGGGAAAAAGGGCTTCGGTACAACAGTCTTTGCCCCCAAAAACATTGATTTATTACTGACCAGGTAACATTAGAGGCCCAGGCTTTTCTGCCTTTCCTCAGGTGACCTAATGTGTCCTGCACCTAGTGTTGATTTTTTTTTTTTTTTTTTATGTGTGTGTGCCTTTGTACACCCCGGGGGGCAGGGAAAAGTAGCATAAGAGCTTATGAAAAAGTCAACTTGATAAAAAGTGCAGGTGGGTCAGTAAAAGTGGGTGGAAAATGTTCATTATCCTGCCAAAAAGGCTGGCGCAACAATCATGAGTGTCTTTAGTTATTGTCGTTCTGACTGATGATCACCTAAAACCAACTCCACCCAGACTTAGAATACACTTTTACAAGTTATATAATAAAAATAAATCTGGAGGAAAGGGAGTGACTGGTCCACAAAACAAATTGTACGAAGGTAAGAAAAAACCTTCCAAGACTTAACAAGGCGTCTGATTTCACCGCTCTGTCAGATGTCTTCAACGCCTTTGACAAGTTTTATTTATTTTTTATTTTTTTGCCAAATGGTCAGGATTATTTGATACAATTTTTCAACCTTTAGAAGTGAACACATTTTAAGGTTTGAAATCAGGAATTCAACCTGTGAAAAATATTGAAGCTTTGGAACGGGCTTTGATCTAGCAGCGCTGGATGATTGTTCTGAGGAAACAGACTTATTGTTGCTCTATTTTTAATAATTTCATCATTTGGATTAGTTAGAAAAAAAAAACATAAACATATACATCTATCGCTATTAATTGTCTTTCTATTCCAGCAATGTAAAAGGAAAAAGGTTTTGTTCACGGGAAGGAACAGGAAGATAAGTTAAACTTAATTATGATTAATTGCAATTTGCAGCTAAAGAAGGAACAGGAAGATAAATTAAACTTAATGATTAAAATTAAAATTATGATTAATTGCAATTTGCAGCTACCCTCTTTTTAAAAAAAAACAAAAACATGTAAATAAACATTAAAATTACAATTAAAAGTTGTAAAAGAAAAAATCAGCCAATTACTGAGAAAAATGGTGCTTTACTCTTGAAATCAGATATTTTTCTTCTAAATTTTCACCTGTTATCCACATTTACACAACACAGACATGGTGGTTTTATTGGTGGTTTTATTCCGTGTTAATTAAAGACCGTACAGCCTCATTGACATGCACGTCTGGAGTGCTGCTGTACTGTGCGCTGTAGGTCACATCCTCTACTCTTATCAGCCATGTACTAGCTAGAAGTAATAAGGATTTACCAAAGAATGAAGTCTCTGTTGATGCCTCTCTCCCCGCGTGAGTGACCCTGTAAATTGCCATTAATGTGCCACTGGCTAGAGCTTTTCAACGAGAGAGACGAGATGGGGCATTAGGGAGCAGGTTTTGATTTATGGCAGTGTGTTTGAGCTTAGAAATGTCCGTCCCACTGGGAGCTCCATATGTTTGTACTCCAGCGTGTGTTTGTAGTGTCCCTTTGCCAAGAGACTATAACAACAGCCAAAGGACTCAGAGATTGCTTTGCTCTTTGGGAGCACCCCGGATGGAAAAAAAAAAAAAAATTTGAGCCTGGAAATCAATAAATCAGGAGTCACGCTGTCGCACACTTCCCCCCCTCCTTCAGATGGTTCAAGAAGCTTTTCATCATGCGCTTTTCTCTTTAATTGAAAATGTTTTCGTCATTTGATCAGTCAGTCAAAGCGGTGTGCAGCACTGGAGGCTGCATCCAGCCACTTCCCCATCTTTACACTTTCAATGTCAAATCAGCCCCGGTGTTATCATTAGTGGTGTATTCTTCACCACTGGAAGCTGCAGTCAACAGTTACCACATAATAGGATAGAAAATGGTAAAAGGTTTTTTTTCAATAAAAAAAAAAAGATCTGGTCCAATTTATTGTAGTTTCTCAATAATAATAAATCAAAAAAAAAACTTTAAAAAATATCCGTTATAAATGAAAGGTGTTTTAACTTTTCCTAACTGTTTGGTTTACAATGATTTGATTTTGAGGCATTTCATCAGACTGACAATAAAAAACACACACAAAAAAAATCACTTCTCCCCAGTAGATATTTCTAAAAAGTTAAAAAAGAAAACAATGTATTTTTTTTCTTTGTCAGAATACACAAATTAGACCAAATATGTAGCTGTTTTTCCCAAAAACACATTCATCACTTATACATCCAATCAGCTGGGGTTTTTAATAGAGAGCAGTGTATTCAAAACAGTGTGTAAATGCTAACCATCAGTGACTGTCAGATACTGTTTCAAAAGTTGCACTAAATTTTCAGCTTGCTTTCAAATAGCAAAACAACATAATGTCATTGTCTTCTTCAACTAGAGATTTGTACTTCAATGAAATACTGCAGTATAACTACAATTCCTAAAACCTTGTGAATTACACTTTTGCCTTCATTTCATTGGTCAGAATGTTTTTGTGTCTCTGGGTGAATTTTGTTTGGTGCTAAATCAATAAACTTGGCTCATTTGGGGTTAAGGGCTGCAGACCCCCTTAATGAAGAAGAGAGAGAAGTGAGAAGTGAGAAGTGAAACTAAAAACTGAAGCCCTGACGTTAAGAGTTTGCATGTTCTCCCCGTGTGAACGAAGGTTTTCTTGCTGCACTGAGGAATTCCAGGTTATGAGTTGGAGTGTGAATGGTTGTTTGTCCTTCATGTGCTCCTGCGGTATGCTAACATATTGTCCTGGGTGAACCCTGCCTTCTCTGGATGACTGCTTGGATTGGCTCCAACCCCCGCTGCGACCTTGAACAAGATTGAACTGAGCAAGCCCCAGAGAATGACACATGCCCGAGCCAACTCAACCCTGTCTCTCTGAATATGTTTCTAAACTGCTCAGTTTTGGCTGTCCCTCTGTCAGTAGCATTTTAAGCCACGTCCATCCTGGTCACTTCCAATTTAAAGCTCAGCGTCTAGAACTCTGCCATCACCAACTCAGCCTCCTGTCACTGATGGACCGCCGTCATCTCCAAAACTCACGCCGCAGCAGGATACACTTCTTATTCCTTTACTCTAATGGCTACCTTTCTGTCACACATTGACAATGACACTCCAGCTTTTGTGGACCCTCCTGAAGCACTGTCGCCTGCTCGCCTCACGTCTTAAATCTTCACTGCAGACCTTCAACTTGAAGATTGTCTTCAACCCTCTTTGGATTCTCACCACAAATCTGTGAACTTCACAGTTCACTGAACACCGCTCTGGCCTCATCTGTCTGTTCATCACTGCTGAAAAGAACACAGAGGTGTGTCCCGAATCCCCCAACTCTATTCTGAACCCATCAGTCATTCTGATCGCACACCTCATCACTGTCTGAATGTCCAGCACTGCCTCAAACTTGTCTACTTGTCTGCCCGGCCTGAGCTTTTCACGCAGTATTTTTGCGTGATTTTAAATGTCTTGGCATTGTTGCTCAGACAACTGGTCAAATACAAGTTGACCCATGGAGGAGCTTTTTTTTCTATGCAGTTCATGCTTTTAAAATAAAACTGTTGCCCCACATCAACCAAATGAAGCACCTTCTACTTCCTGTGAAGTATGACATTAACCTTGACAAGTAGATGTGATTTTTACAACCCTCTCTGTAAATTCTGCAGCCTCCTCTGGGAGGCGAGCTGTGTTGTTCTAAAAGGCCTGTAGCCGCGGTTTGTATTATTTATACAGATTCCACCTGAATGGACTCTCTCTAACGTCACCAGGGGAGACAGCCTGTAGATAATGAACAGCAGACTTTTTTTTAACCCACTGACAAGAGGAAGTCAAATAGCAGCAATAAATCTCGGTTACGCACGTCAAGCCGTCGCTTCATTCTTATGTCTTTGACAACATTGTCACGCTTTAAATCAAGGGGATATTTAAATAGCTTACGCTGTTTTTATGTGTCGAAAAAGGTCACA